AACTCTTGGGCTGAAGCAATCCTTTTGCCTCAGCCTCCCAAGTAGCTGGGACTACAGGCACATACCACTAAGCCCAGCTAATTTTTCTATTTTTAGTAGAGATGGAATCTCACTTTTGCTCAGGCTGGTCTGGAACTCCTGAGCTCAGGCAATCCATCTGCCATGGCTTCCCAGAGTGCCAGGATTAAAGGCATGAGCCACCACTGCAGGCCCTGAATTATTTTTTTAAACGTATACCAGCCAGGCATGAAAAATAACACAAGAATGGCTCAGGAATACAGAATTACTACCATTTCCCTTAATTTATTTAGTAGTTTACTGGTTAGTATTGACAATTAAGTTCACATGTTGTCAAAGACCCTTCTACAATCACTATAACTCTTTGAGGTCTAGGATTTGACTATTTCATACCTCAAAAAGTAACAAAATGTATGGGCGGCGCCTGTAGCTCAGTGAATAGGTCACTGGCCCCAAATACCAAGGGTGGCAAGTTTGAACCTGGCCCCAGCCAAACTGTAACAAAAAATAGCCGGGTGTTGTGGTGGGCACCTGCAGTCCCAGCTACTCAGGAGGCTGAGGCAAGAGAATCACCTAAGCCCAAGAGCGGGAGGTTGCTGTGAGCTGTGACACCATGGCATTCTACCGACAAATAAGAGCCTGTCTCAAAAAAAAAAGTAACAAAATGTGCCCTTATTCATTTGTTGCTTTTGGTTCTATAACCCAGAAAACTGTTGATAGCTTCTTGCCAATTGAGGCAACTTAAGGCAATAGTTACCATTTTGAAATTGTTTATTTACCAATATTTTTGGAGAGAGAGACAGTGTCTCACTTTGTCACTCTCAGTAGAGTGCTGTGGCTAACAAGGAATAAGCTCCAGAATCCAGAAACCAGGACAGAACAGTTGCTGGTTTCTTACATAGGCCCTCCAGTTTGGTGTGTGGGGGAGGAAGAGAAGGAAGAATCAGTATATTAAAATAAGAGGCCTTGGCTCGGCGCCTGTAGCTCAAGCGGCTAAGGCACCAGCCACATACACCTAAGCTGGTGGGTTCGAATCCCCAGCCCGGGCCTGCCAAACAACGATGGCTGCAACCAAAAAATGGTCAGGCGTTGTGGCGGGCGCCTGTAGTCCCAGCTACTTGGGAGACTGAGGCAGGAGACTCGCTTGAGCCCAGGAGTTGCAGGTTGCTGTGAGCTGTGATGCCATGGCACTCTACCCAGGGGGATAGCTTGAGGCTCCATCTCAAAAAAAAAAAAAAAACAAACAAAATAAGAGGCCTGTTTTATATACAATATACAAGACTCCCTACTTAAAGCTAAATGAATCCACAGGGCAGAGCCTGTGGCTCAGTGAGTAGGGCGCCAGCCCCATATACTGAGGGTGGCGGGTTCAAACCTGAAACTGGCCTTATTGCAACAAAAAATAGCCAGGCATTGTAGCAGGTGCCTATAATCCCAGCTACTCGGGAGGCTAAGGCAAGAGAATCACCTAAGCCCAAGAGCTGGAGGTTGCTGTGAGCTGTGATAGTACCGTACTCTACCGAGAGCGACAAAGTTAAGACTGTGTTTCTAAAAAAATAAAATAAAATGAATCCACAGATCCCCATATATAATTAAGGTACCTTTATTGTGCTGGGTATGGTGGCTCACACCTATAATCCTACCACTTTGGGAGGCTGAGATGGAAGGATCTCTTGAAGCCAGAAGTTAGAGACCAACCTGGGCAACACAGGTAGCCCTCTGTCTCTACAAAGCAAAAAAATCAGCCAGGTATGGTGGTTATAGTCTTAGCCACTCAGGAGGCTGAGGGAGGAGGGTCACTTGAACCTAGGTGTTGGAGGTTACAGTAAGCTATGAGCCCTACAAGATCAGTACTCCCAGGTGACAGAGACAGACCCTGTTTCTTAAAAAAAAAAAAAAAAATCTTTATGGCTACATTGTCACCTCGTCTATCTAGTTGTTCTCTAACCAAAACCCAACCTAGAGGTCCAGCCCCACCCAGCTGGCAAAAAGGAAAAGGGGGGGGAAGAGCATGGTGGGGAGACTCCCCAAACTATGGAGAACAGCACACAGGCTTCTGAAAGTACTTTAAGGCTGTGAGGTTCAAAACAAATTCTTCACAACTCCCTCTCCAAAAACCCTAAGGCCCTATGCTAAACACAGCAGAAAAAGTTATTGCTAGACCTTAGATTTGAAAGGCTGGATCAGGGAACCTACCTGCTCAACATTGTTCCTAGACAAGTATATGAATGTAGCCTCTATTCAGATCGCCCCTAAACAGGAAGTTAACAGACATCACACACAGTCAAAAGAGGCAAACCACACAGTGTCCTAAGGATGGATGCTGCTCTGAACTATAAATCTCTCTCACTTCACGGAAAGTGTTCTCAAGTAAGGAATAACATGGAGAACAAAAATCCAGCTTACAATTCCTGCTGATAAATACTTACCTACACCGTTCCATGATGACCATCACGGCCACTCAACTAAAAGCTATATTCCTCTAAAAACTGAAGAGAAGGCTGAGCTTGGTGGCTCACACCTGTAATTCTAGCACTCTGGGAGGCTAAGGCAGGTGGATCATTTGAGCTCTGAAGTTAGAGACTAGCTTGAGCAAAAGTGAGACACCATCTTTACTAAAAATAGAAAAACTAGCTTGGTGTTGTGACAGACATCATAGTCCCAGTTACTCAGGTGGCTAAGGTAAAAGAGTCTCTTAAGCCCAAGAGTTTGAGATTGCTGTGAGCAATGACCCTAGGGCACTCTACTCAGGGAACAGAGTGACTGTCTCAAACAAACAGGGTGGGGCCTGTGGCTCAAAGGAGTAGGGCGCTGGCCCCATATACTGGAGGTGGTGGGTTCAAACCTGGCTCCGGCTAAAAACTAAAAAAAAAAAAAAAAAAAAAAAAAAAAAAATAGGGCAGCCCATGTGGCTCAGTGGGTAAGGCATCAGCCCCATATACTGAGGGTGGTGGGTTCAAACTTGGCCCCAGCAGAACTACAACAAAAAAAAATAGCCAGGCACTTTGGCAGGCGCCGGTAGTCCCAGCTACTCCGGAGGCTGAGGCAAGGGAATCGCCTAAGCTCAGGAGTTGGAGGTTGCTGTGAGCTGTGTGACGCCACTGCCGAGGGCGATAAAAGTAAGACTCTGTCTCTACAAAAACAAACAAACAAACAAAAACCTTAAGAGAGCCCCACAAGATCAGTACTCCTATTGCTTATTATCCCTACAACCTATCTGCTTAAAAAGCCCAAGGAAAGTCTATCCTTGACCCAGCTCATCCCCAACAACCAGGACCAGAAATCAGTCACCAAAAAAGTATTTCCAACAGGTGGGGCCTTCCCTCAAAATATACTGAATCCCTCCACAGCCCCTCCAGAAGGAGCCTCCTTCCCAGCCAAGTACCAAAAGAAATGCAATTCCATGACAATACTCTATCATGACTGCTCTAGCACCAAAAATAGGGAGTCAAAGTGGTTATCAGATGTCAAGAAAGAGTTTAGATCACCATATCCAAGAAAGTGCAATAAAGTTAGCATGCGACACCCAAACAGATTACTCTCCAACAACCTATAGACACAAGGCTGCTGCCAGAAAACACTTAAGTCAGAAGCACACTTGGAAGGGGACTGGATGGCTGGAGGACACAGGTGGGAGGGAAGCTTTCTTTTCACTTTTTATCACATGCATGGATTGTCTATTCAAAATATACACTTTTTTTAAAAAAGAAAATGTTCTAAAGCTACAAAAGCATCTCCAACACAGATCTGTTAAACACACTTTTACCCCATCGGTTAAAAATCCAAATCCCTTCTTTATAGTCTGAAAACACTACTTTGATCCTTTTCCTGAAATATTTTAAGTATCCCCCCACCCCTCTTTCTCTCATACACACACCCCCTCCAAATAGTCAATTAACAGAAATGAGAAAAATGGGTTACAGGAGGGTCCGTAATTCTCCCGAGGACAGCAGACAAAAAGGATGATAGCTGGCTCAGTTAGCATCCACATGCCACCCACCCCTCCACCTCAGTGCCAGCCCTAGAGCTAACATCTTGTGTTCGGACGGAGTTGAAGCTGGGGAAGAATCCAGAGAAGATACCATACCTTCATGAAGGGGGGAAAGCTGTCCCGGCCCGCGAATGGCACCTAAACCTCTGTACTCCCAGGAGCGGTCAGCTCCTTCGCCTAATTGAGAGCAGGGACACCAAAAGTCCTTTAAGTTCCGGTATGGTTAGGGTTGGGCAAGTTCTACGGACCCTCAGGCACCAACTGGAAGACAGATCCAGTGTGTCCCAGAAGCCCAACTGGGAAAAGAGGTAATTTAGCCTCTACAGAAGACAGAATTAGACAATTCCGTTCTCCTCCAGGAGGCGAGGGAACGGTGGACGACGAAATAAAGGGGCAAGGTTCTGCGCTCCTGATCCCTCTCCCTAAATAAAGGTAACCATCCCGAGCTTCCTTCGCCCTTAACGGGTCCCCCGTGCGTCCCATCTACTCGCGAACACAAGACTGAGGGCAAGGAGCTGCCCCCACGTCCTGAGGGCACCACTGGGGGTGTACGGAGTTAAAAGGGGGGGCGCGCTGGAGAGGAAAGGACTGGAGCATGGCGGGCATGAGGCAGTGAGTGAAAGCGGGGATGGCGGGGGAAACCGGGAGTGAGGGAGGGGAGAAAGAGTAAAATGAGAAGAAATGAAGGGAATCGAGCTGGGGGCGCGGAAGACCGAAGTGAAAGACCGGGATGCGCGCGCGGAGGGGGAGGGGATGAGGTGAAGGGGGAGCGCGAGGCGGGGGCGCGCGGTGCCGACGGGGGGGAGGGGGACGCAAGGCGGGGGCGCGCGGGCGGGCGTCGGCTCGCGGGCGCTTCCCCTCCCCCGCCCCTCCACCTTTCCCTTCCCCCATCTCCGCCACCACAGCCTCCTCCCAGCCTCCCTCCCTTCCTCGCTCCTCACCGCCCCCGGGCGGGCGGGCGGCCAGGCTGGCCTAGGCCAAAGCTCCTCACCTGGCGTTGGCGGTGTAACTCCCGGCTTGCTCGCCTCCTCAAGCGACGGCGGAGGCGTCGAAAAAGGAAGAGGCGACGGCACAGTGGGATCCGGACCCCACT